CTCAGCACCCAGAGACAGGTCACCCAGGGCCTTCCACCAAGTGCAGCATCTCCACATGCTGTTGCTTGAGGACCTGTGGATGTGGAAGGTGGCCGGTGGCCGGAGTTTGGCAAAGGGTATAGAAGTCCAGGTTGACGATATTTGGCACACTTCTTGTCCAACCACCATCATTAATTGGCTTTTCCGCACAACCATGGTTCAATTACGGACTTTACCCTACAATCCCACGCTGTTCCCATTATTGAGCGTGGTCGAACGGAAGGCTGGGGTACATCGTGGAGTTTCCTTTTCGCTCCTATCAGAGCTTGATTTCAATGGTTCATTGAGTGGGGCGTCCCCAATACCCCCCAACAAAAATCCCAATCCAGGTAACCTGCAGGTGATCCATGTACTTCCTGCGAAACCAATCCCAAGTCTTCACGGGATGTAAAGGTCCATCGGTCCATCTCCGCTAAGACTCTCTCCTCGGTCCATCGAGCTCTTTGGATGGACACATCCTCTGACCACGAAGAGCGATCTGTCCTTCCACACGACTGATCTATCGTCACCAATCAAGTTGGCCTTGAACCGCGACATCGGAAGAAACCCTAAACTGGTACCCGACTAGAAGTCCAGTTCGACCATATTTTGACCGACTGAAGTAAAGGAAATTCCATGACGCCTCGAATCACCGTTCGTCAGACCATGTTGCTGTCTTTGACTCCCAGGGATGTGTATATATTGATGGATCTCGAACAAGAAAACATCCGGCCAGCAGCGCACGAGCACGATGACTCCGATCCTTCAGAATCTGATTCTGGCAACTCGTGCTTTCCACATTGCGAAGCCTACTTCTTGTTACTCATAGTTGGCCTCCAACCTACTAGCGATGGCCTCCAACCTAATAGCAAGGGCCCTCCACCTAGTACAGTAGCTTCTTGTTACTAGTAACAAGGCACCCAAATGGCGAAGGAAAGGAGTGGCGTCGACCTTACGTCCGCGCTTGGAGCGCTGTGCTCAGCGACGGTGGGACGTTCAACATTGGCGGACAGTTCGGACGCCAACTGTTCGGCACCTTGTGTTTTGCAAAATCGCGGGACACAGACCCTGGATCTCACGGGTGTGAAATGAAGAACGTCCCTTTTTTCTGCCAGCTGAGCTGAGTTCTTCATCCCATTTAGAGCACTGACTCACGTAGATGGTCGATGAATTAAGAATCAAAATTCAGAATAGTTGTACATCTCCCTATATCCGGGAGGTTATTCACGTTATTCATCAACACCTTCCAATCTGATATAGACTAAAATGAGATTCCCCGGTGAGATTCCCGAGTTCTTGAAAAGATCGGCTCTAAGATGCCCGTCTGCCCCGCTCGCGCCCGCCGGCCTCTTCCAAAGAATCCATCGCTTCGTCTAGGCCATGCGCGCGCGGACCAACCGCCCCGTTCATGCCGTGCGGGCGACTCGCGGAGTGACCGAGGTCACGAAAGGTGAGCCTGTGGACGCTACTAGTAGCTTGTTCATGCACAAGATCGATGAAGCATCTGTCCGACAATGGCTCCCCGCAAACTAGATGGTGTCACTAGAACAGTTGTGCTTCTCTTCGTCACCAAAAAATGGAGACACGGAAGAATCCATGTCTGAACTTGTCTTCAGCCACCGTTTTCAACACTGAGGTACCTCATGCTGTTTCATGCTGGTGGCTGTGGTTCAGTGGCTGCCGCGTTTGGTCCCACCCGGGGTCTACGTGCTCGATCTAATCTGCTTTCAAAGCCCAGAATTGATAGCGAAAGACCTCGGAGCACCTCGGAGTTGCAGCGTTCGTCAGGACTTCGAAGGCTTGGACTTCGTTGAGCTTCGAAGGCTTGGACGTCCCACCCCCCGAATCACGGAGAAGCGAACGATCCACCTGGAACATCCAGGTGGGGTGTCCCATGAGGAACTCCAGGGAGTACAAGGGTCTTGGTATGTAACACACACACACACACACCAAGCAAGCAAGCAAGCAAGCAAAAACAGCGCACTGAGTTCTTTGGTCTTCATCACTTGGCATGTGAGTAGATCTCGCTCAGGGCCACCAAGGTCAGGCTGCCCCCAAGCTGCTCATTGTTGGTGAGGGTCTTCTTGTTATATAGAGATCAATGGAAGAATGTGTGTGTGTGTGCAAGCCTCAGCTCATCTTTTTGGCAGCGAGCTTTCATCTTCTCGAAGCTGCTGCGGATGGCTGGGGTCAAGCTCTTGTCTCCCCGAGTTCGAAACGGTTTCACATGGTGAGTGGATCGCCCTGAAGACGATCCAAGTAGGACCCCAAGGAGGGGTCAAAGTGGATCCCCTGCACACCTATAGAAGTCTGGAGAAGCAAAGTCTGGATCTGAGAGGCCTTCGGTATATCAAAGCCTTGCCCCCAAAGCACCGAACGCCTTCGGTATGGACGCCGGCCTCCACCCACGCCGGAGACCGACCGGCATCACTTCCATTCCATCCACTCGGAGGCCATCGCCGGGACCTGGGTTTTTCAGCCCCAAGCCGTCGTGGCCGGTAGAAAGGGGAACTGGATTTCGGTCGAGGAACCTGGTGTTTCACGATGTTTCACGTTGACAAAAAGTCAACAATGACGAACATGAGATCACACCTGGCCACTATGAGAAGCTGACTTGGCATCATGGCCTGGGTGTCTGGACTTTGTCAGCAGCCGGCAGGCTCTCTCTGGGAGGTGCACCAAATTGCCCGGAGGGACATGGCCACATGGAAAACAGCTAAAATCCCATGAGTCAATCACTTGGGATCGTGGGAACAAAACGAGTGGACCGATCGTGGTAGGAAGCGGAAGATGGTCATGCCCCCCCTTGGCCCGGCCTTGAGCGTCTGCCAGGGCACCCTCTTCCAATCCACACTGTGCACCAATCCAGGGCCCTTCGCTCCCAAGTTCGGTCTTCGCTCCCTTCAGCAACCCGGCGAAGACCAAACGCCCTCCGCGCGCGCACGACCGGAGAAAGGCCAGAATCGGCTTTCTTTTTTCATTCCAAATCTGCACGGCTCAGCCGCGAGGTCAGCCGTCCCGCAGCGTCCGCAGGGCGTCTGCAGGGCCGCGGAAACCGAGACACACGTGCTCCGCGTGCAGTTGGGCGCATGCTAAGCTTGGGCTACTGAAAGCAGGCTGCGTCGAAGTTGGGGATGCGTCATTTTAAATATGGGTGGAGAGGCCCAATCTTTAAGAATTTTGGGCAGGACCAATCGTGGCCTCTACCAAAAGCAAATGCGAATATGTTTGGCTGAACTGAAGTCCTTCCACATTTTTCTACAAGGTTGGCTTGGAGTGCCACTCACCCTGCTTTTCCAAGCCGAAAATTGCGCCCACCCATCGCGCGGTCTTCTGCCCGGGTCTCCTCGCTTTTGGCCACTTGGCCATCTGACATCGGTTCCGAACAAGTCACGCGACTGGCGCCCGAAGCACGCAAGAGACATTGACATGCATGTAAAAAATCAGGGGGAAGCTTTGGGTCTGCAATCGCCTTTGCGTGTGAGTGACTCGGAACCGACGCCCGAACACGGTCTGCAACCGTCGTTGCATCAGCGAGACGTGTAAACAGCTCTTCCAGCTTGGCACGGCTGGCTTGCCAGGAGTGGCAACGTGTGTGCTCGTCGGACGCGCAAAAAACGCGCTCGGAGAAGCACATATGGTTCAATGCAGTCACTGTAGGTGTGTGTGTGTGTGTGTGTGATATATATGTTCATATTACATCCCATCTATACCTGACGATGACTTTTGTATCGTAGCTCTGGGACCTTAAATCGATTGAACCGAATCCTCGAAAGTCTCACGTAACAGCTATACGTCACCTGGTGGAGGCACGTCACCGGCCGAACTCACATTTCAGACCTCCTGGCCCTGTTTCCCTTCGTCCGGTGCAACTGGGAGGTCACCTATACCAAATGCCTTCGGTGTTTTTTCGAGTCAAGAACTTCGAGTTGACAAGAGTTGCTCAAGTCCATCCCGAGACCTGAAGAAGCTCCGATGCCAATGTGGAAACAAGTCCAACAAAAGAAGTGAATGCAACAAAACTGAACAAATTTGTTCGGGAGTAGTTGTTGTTTCTTTGAAGTTGTCACTGAATGCGTTGTGTCTCTGATTTGGGCCGGCTTGTCTCTTCAGCTGGCTCCTGTGTGTGTGTGTGTGCATCGCTTTTCTTCCAGGTGAGGGGCATTTGGATTCTTGGAGGATCTCTTGTCCAATCACCTGTGTTAATAAGTCTGGTTGGTGGCTTCAAAATGTTGCAACTCACTTGAAGAATATTGTTGCTTCAATCATCCAAAGTAAAGGTTGAAAATAAGAATATCGAAAACCACCACCTAGAAGTCCATTTCTATACCTTGAGGTTCCTGCGATACTTGGCTTGAGGGTCTTTTCACATTCCCAGGTGAATGAGATGGACCCTTCAAGGAACCTGACACGGCCTGGAATTGGTCTCCCCAACAGCGTTCGACGCCCGCTGGACATGCTGCATTGCAGAGGTGTGTGATGGTTTTTGATGGTCTTCACCCATATGACTTTTACAGCTGAGTTTGCAGATCCACGTTGTCCCCCTTTGTTGATTCGGGCCCAGACTCATAGGCACGTGGGACTTCCATTTTCACACGACGTGGGTGTCTCGGTTCGCATGAAAAAAGGGTCTGGACCCCGATCTCCTGCGATTGGTGGCCGGTTGAAGGGCCTCGGATATCAACGACCATTGACCATTGTTTCGACGATTAGGACACAAGGACCATCTTTAAAACGGCGACCGCCCTGTTCTTGTAGTGTAAAAAATCCTCAAACCATGGTTGATTCGGGAGAAAACGAGGCCCAAAACCAATCGGTGGGCCCCCAATCTCAGGGCATCGGCTCGCTCTTCGACGTCCGCGTCCGCGTACGTGTGTGCGTGGGCGCGTGCGCGGCGTTCGCGTGCGATGTGTTGGATCTGTGGACCTCGCTGGTCGCGGTGTCGAAGCCAAACCGGCTCGCTGTGCCAAGCCGGGACTCGGCTATCTGAACGACACCGTCTGTGGCTTCGAGCCCCAAGGCCCCGCCTCGGATGGGAGAAGTCCGATGGGGGTCTCTCCGATGTCGAGAGAGTGGACATGGTCATTAATACCAGCCATCTAAAAAAGAAAACGGCCAAAGGCAGACATGTTGTACTGTCGGAAGATCCAGGTATACGAGTACTCTACAAGTTCTAATGAATCTAATGAATGAGTCTATAGATGTTGCGACTCGCTTCTTGCAGGGGTGCGGTCGGCGAAGTTGGCCCCTCAAGCCGTCAAACCCCACCAATGTTCTTGTAAAACTGTTCCTATGTTCCTACATTCGGAGGCGTTTCGGCCTACGTATGGGAAACAGTGAGACGATTGAGGGCATCCTCAAGCTCCAGGTGTTCCCCATATGGGTCCTTGATTTGAGTCATTAGGATCCCCAAGTGCCAAGCCCAGCCCCCAAGCATCCTGTGGCCAAGTTTGGTGGGGATCCTGACCCTTGTCTATACTCCAAACTCACTGGAGGGTAGTGGGGGCGCCCACCACCCAGCTATACACACATACAATATGCACATGGTAGCTCCCTCCTTGAAAAACATGGCCCGATGCCGTTTCTGTCCTTTGTAATCCACAGTTGAAACGGCTCAAAGATCGTGGCTTCAAAGCACATGGCACTGGCACCCCAGGATCTCTTTTAGATAAGGGTCCATATAATCACCTTTTGGCATATTGTGTACTCTCAACCTCACTCCTGTATATCTTTCCAAACCCAGACCAGGACCATCCAACAAATCCCTACTTGAGAAATAATTTGAGTCCATACAGTACCAGGAGACCAAGCCCTGCGATGCTGCACCAAAAAAGGTGCAGAGAAATCCTCACATCAGATCCCTGTGAGAACTCCTGGCACCCAGCACCAATTGGACCATATGTGGCTGGTTTCGTCATGGCACCAAACCATGGTAAGTTGACAGGTTGTCACATAGAGGAAGCCGTTCCCACCATCGGGGGTCAACCAAGGTCCGGTCGTCATCCACATCTTGTGTGGCTCCACCTTGCCAGGCCTATGCGGCTCCGTTTGGTCCCCGTGAGCACACCCGTTTGTGGCCTCCAACTAGTGATGGCCTCCACCCTAGCAGCTGCCAGGACACCCGAAAGAAGTTCACCAAGACATTGCACAAAATGTGGTGATAGCCCGTCGCCTCCGCGAAGACAGAGAATTGTGGAGATACACAGTGAGTTCGCGTGACGTTCTGTGCGCGGTGGTTGCTTCTAAGGTTGGGCACCCTTGTTTCAGATTTGCTTTTCTGTTCGCACAAACATTCGTACCCCCTCTCACAGGTTTGATGAGTATTCCAAATTCTCGCCTTCAATATTGTGATAGTTTGCCCTTATTACGCCGCCATTGACCCCAGATTGTTAGTTGTCATTCATGATTTGTCTGTTCTGTACTCTCTGGCTGGTTTGAAGATTTACCACATGTTCCATTTGCGGTTGCGGTCATGACCAGCCCCAACGACGGCATTCACGTTCCAAAAGGTTTCAGACAAGAATTGGAAATTGAAAGACAAGCAAACAAAGGAAACCCGTTGGCTGTCCAAAGATCTACTCCTCATGAAACCCCCAGAGGTTACTCACAAAAGTGGCAATACATGATGTCATATGAGTTCACTTGATCTTTCTTTTCTACCCCAAAAAAAACCTGGAAATCACCGCTGGATTTCAGGTAAAAATTTCCGGGGGGGTCCATCCAATCCCTGCGGATGTTCCCGTCTTTCAGCCGCTGATCCCATCGGCCAAGCGTCTCGGGGTGGCTCGGCATAGAAGGCGTCCTCCGTGTCCGAGTCCATTGCATGGTACTCGACACCTGAGCGCTCCACCAGGCTACCTGCTCGAACATTCGAAAAATCCTGGTTACACTGGGGTGGTTGTGTTCCATTGCCATCCAAACAACAGTGATGCGCATGTTTGTTGGTTGTAATCCATTGTAACTTGCAATCCACAAAATGTGTTTCAATACATGTCGTCTTGGTGTGTTTTCGTTGCTTTGTAATCCATCCCCCCCAAAAAAAAACAATGAGCAGCTTATAGCTTGGAGGGCGTCTCTTGCTGCCCTGGGGGTCTTCACAAGCCACCGGAGCATACAGGCGATCCTCCACCGATCCCATCCCGGCCCATCTCCCTCTTTGAAAGGTACCCAAGCACTAAGGGCATCTAAACCGTTTGAAGGTACCCGACTTCCAGGTTACTACTCGAAACGGGTAGAAGCCCGAGGAAAACCTCGAACGAGGCAAGCTGATGGAGGATCTGCAAACTCAGCTGTACAGTCCACGTCCACGCATCGTTTGTGTGGTGCCCATACTAGTGAAGACCATCAAACAGCATCAAACACCTATGCAAAAGCAAGTCGAATCGAATTCCAGCGGTGAGGGTGTCAGGCGTTGGTAGGGAGACAAAGCCCAGGGCGTCTCAGGTTTCCTGCTAGGTGATATGTGTTCTTTTCGACCTCTTTCCTGGCCCTCCACTGGTCACCTGGGTGAACTGCTTCGGGACAGGTCGGCCGAGCAGAGTTTTCGGGTCGATCAGGGAATCTAACTGGGTCCACCAGGCGCATCCAGGCGCTACGGAGCGAAAGACATATTTCAATGAATGTAGCGACCCACATGATGTCCTCTTCAATAGGATTCACGTCATGCTGAAACCTTTGTCACACTTTCTCATGTCGTTCTTACGGGACAGTGTCCATGCTTCGCGTCGCGTCTTCCAGTGGGAACGAAGGGTTCAAATGGAATTGAAGACCGGCCCCCAACTAACGGACTGGTCAGACTGCTTTGAAGGCGATCAGCTGGATTTCAGCATTCGTTTCAACCAGAGCGTGAAAGACCGTGGTCGGTGGCGAGAGTCGAATTGGAAAATCAGCGATGATCCAACTCCGGATCCATCGTCGTGTGTTCAGTAGTGCGAATACTCACAGGGTACAAAGCTACCAAAAATAGCCTTGAGTTCTTTCTACACGAACATTATGTAAGATGTCAAACATCTGAAGTGAAGTGCAAGTGCAAATGATGTAGATGCTCCTCCCCAACCACACCGCAAGGTTTCTTATGTTTCTTCTTTGAGGTGTCCCCAAACCACTTTTGAACGCCCAAATGCCCAACCCCGAGCTGAGTCCGGAACTAGCGACCCGCTCTCCGCCATCCAGGTCATTTCCTGAGCAGAACTTATAGCTTTACAAGAGAGGGCCATGACAAAAAGAAAATGCAGGTGCGTGGTTTCAACTCACTTGAAGAATATTAGTCAGTTGGCTTAATCATGTTTAATCATCCAAAGTAAGGGTTGAAAAAAAGAAAACCATAAACTACCACCTAGAATATGGCCTCCAGATGCTTCCTTTTCAAGGCCTGTAGTCAAGAACGCGTGCAAACAAATAGGGCTGTCAGTGTCTTCTGAAGGCCAAACTTGAACGAAAAACATGAATGTGTATATTATATATATAACTAAAGCTCCGAGCAAAATCTCCAAGAATAAAATCACAACTTCCAGAAAAAGACACAGTGCGCCGCAAACAACCCACAGGACAAGGAACAAACAACAACATCTTGCATCTTGGGCTGCATAATGCTGCATAGGTGATGGTCGACGATGGGGAAGCACGTCTTTTCGGCAAGTATGGGTTCGCAAATGAGGTCCTCCTATGTGGGTGTGGTCGCAGAAAGCACCAAAGTGATTTGACTGGAGGCCCCATATCTTCAAGCGATACCCATTCGCTGAAGACTGTGCCATGCGCATGCGTGGCATGCGGCAATGGCATGTGGCAGTGGCAGGCCGCATGTACGCCGACTGTTAGTGCGTTTTGTTTCTGGACCTCATCGAAGGTTCTTGAGACCATGGCTGATGGAAAACATTGGTCACAGCTTCTGTGCCAAAAGAAAATGGTCACTGATACAGATCCACAAATCGAGTCCAATTGTTCATCGACAGCCCCGAACCAAATAGAAACTATACTGGTCCTTTCGGGGTCTCCAATAGACTACCCTACATCAATCAGGGATCTCCAACCAGGACACCCCGACAGGATGCTCCTATAGTATGTATGTGTATATATATATATATACGGTATATATATATATAACACACTCTCCAAGAAGACTCCTTTCAAAGACGTGACATATTCATCATAAGACAACCCCCCAAAAAAAAATGCACACTGCTTCGTCCCCCGTCGTCGCTCCAGTCGCCCCCCCCTTCGTCCAAGCCAAGCCACGGCCGCGCGACGTGTCCGTGTCGAAGCTTCGGTCGCCGACCCGTGGCCTCGCCCGGAAGGTGGCCAGGAGTCGGGTTTCAGGGAAGTCGGCAGGCCTCCAGGACCGAAACATGAACCCGAACGGGCACGCCAGGTTGAACCGATCCTGGGGGGGGCGGGGATTCTCAGTCCGGCCCTCGGCTGGTCCGATGAAGTGTTCTCGGCGTGCCGATGGCGTTCCCCGCGGCGCGTGCGAACGGGGCATGGGAGATGTCGGTCTGCATCGGGTCATGCCCCAAAGCATAGATGGTTCATGTAGACTCTTAATTCATCAACCCCTCCAATGGAGGATCTTGATGAAGTTCTCCCCCCCAGATGAAGAGGTTGTTCAATCCAAATGGATCAAGAGCTTGCATTACAGTACATGATCTCCATACCAGGAGACCCTGAGGGGTGGCTACTGGGGTGTCTAGAATCACCACCCCCTAGGGTTCAAACAACACACCTTAGACTCGACACCCTGGCCCCTGATGTGAGATCCAAACACGACAAATGGGACTGACATCATATACCTTGGGTGGTTGAACAGGGGTCAATGTTGGCATAGATTCCAGTCCCATGGAGTGTCTGTCAAAAAGTCGCTGGTTTCAGCCATCAATGTATATAGTCGCGCGATGTATATCTTCCCATATCTTCCCATATCTTCCCAAAAAATTAGAGAATTGCATTGTGACATTCCAAGCTTTCCCCAAACATCTGTTCCGCTCGCACGGTCGACCTGAAGCGACGCGACCAAGGAGCAGTCGTCTCTCCTCGTCGAACCCTGCGGAGCGGAGCAGCAGTCGTCACGACTGGGACCGAGGCCATCGCTATGAGGGACCGAGGCCCTTCACCGTTTCGAACAAAAAAAAGAAAGCCACCGGTCTGAACCAATCCACTGAAGGTCCTGAACCTGCCATAGAAGTGGAATTCGAACCACCATTGACGAGTTCATAGCCTGAATAAAAAAAAAAAACATTGTTTGACTAAAGGATTTTACATTACAAGACCAGATCAACCATTAAAGAAAATGGTCTCGGACTTGCAGGTTTGGACACACCATGAATTCACGGGTTATTACTGTTTCTTCACGCCTGGACGTCGCTGGTGAATCTGGACGTCCCAAGATGTCCCAAGCAGAAACAGTTCTGGTGAGTCCGATCCACGGCGCCAGCGTGCCATTCCGACCTCTGCACAAAAAGCAGGGCGACTGGGAGCTGCGGAGGTCCTTTTTTCCCAGCAACTGGCTTTGGGATCGGAAGACCATCGAGCCGTTTCGGGGAGTTGTTAATTACTCCCTCAGTAGACTAACAAGCTTCAAGGATTCATCGTCAAAACAGAGTCTGACTGGACAGCACATCTGGGTGACGCTCTTTTCCATTGATGCGTCCACCCTCCCCCTGACTCCCCCCCCCCCCCCCCAGGCAGTCGTTGATGGTTCCGCGAGCGAGCCAACCAAGGCGTCCAAAGCTCGGTGGGGTGAAGCGGCCCAAAATCCATCCCGCCCATAAGTCTCTGGATCGCCTCCCTTAGCCACCTGCGGTCTATCTGAGCTGTCTGAAGATCTTCGCAGCTTCAAGTGCCCCCACAGACTGGCACTATAGATCAGGAACGCACCTCATGTTCAGTGGAGTCAATATGAGTTGATCATACAGGAAAACACGACTCGCTTTTCGTTTTTCAGGACCAAGTGGACCGACAGATCAGACTGGACCGACACGAATGGGGTTGCTGACTCCGACTCCTTCTGACGTCCCTTCTGACGTCCCTGCCAGTTCGAACGTTCAGGACAGCCCTTTTCAAACGACGGGTCACCGTTCGTCAGATGGACTCCCAGGGTGACGAAGTGGAGACGCAATTGGATCTTCCGACTATATAATTATAATGTATAACACATCTGTCTAATGTCTAACTTGGCTGGTTTGATAGATGAAAAGCCGGAAATTTCGCACACTTAGAAGATCTATAGGTCTAGGTATGTTGCTTGGCTTCCCCTTCCCCTTACGGCCCTGCCTGTGTCTGGCGTGGTCTCAGCCTGAGAGCATGCTTGTTTCAAGTCGCATGGTCGCTTCCCTGCCCCAAAGGAGCGCTAGGAGCCACAAAGACACTCCCAGAAATACGCATGGTGTGGTATGAGGATGTTCATAGTTCATGGTCATCCCAACTGCACAAATCTTGCAGTAGTACTCAGCAAGAGTGATCATGTATGCATAGGCAGCATAGGGACGGTATCCATAGCCATGCGATCCCATCCATGGCCAGGCCCATGATGATTTCAGGGAGTAGTATAGAGCGGCTTTGGCCTTCTGCGGTGGAGAAAACAAGCTGTGGGCCCGGGTATCGCACCTCCACTCAGAAAACTCGGGAGGTAGATGGATGTGGCCGTGCGATGCCAACATCAAAATGTTTGCTTCTTGGTGGCGTTGATTCAGAAGCAGCATCGGAAGCATGTTGGAACGGAAGCATGTGAGAGATGGAATCTCATTGGAGTTCAATCAAGAGCCAGGACGATTACATCGATATAACCCCTTGTCTGCTACTCTCGTCCCGCAACCCGCAATCTCGAGAGTTGAAGTGGTTTGAAGTATGGGAACGTCATGGAAGACTTCGACAACAACATATATAACAACCGACAAGTGAAGAAGAAACCTGGACCAATGCTTTGGTCGCCCACTTCTCGGCCCTTGACTTGACTACCGGTTGAGCCTGAAGACCTCTTCGATCCGGCGACGACTCGATTGTCCACCGTAAAGGATCGACGAACCAGTTCGAAGCGTGTCTGGCTCAGACCAAACCAGGCGTAGTTCAGCGTGTCGAGGTGTCGGAGACCTCGGAACCTCTTAGGCTCCGAGGTTCGCGGAACTGCGGAAACCTCGGAACCCGAAGGGGTCAGACACCACCAGAGACACCGCGTGGACTGCGTTTTATCCGCGTGGACCGCCTAACCGACCAAAGCCGGCGTTGACGCCAGCAAGGCACGGGAGAGGTGAGCCGTAGCTGAGCGGCCAGTTGCCGCGCCAGCTCCTTGGGGGTTCGCGGGTGTCGATCCAGTGGACCCGTGGGATCGGCCTCACGGGGGATGGGGGGATGGGGGTCTTTCAGCATGCACCCCAAACGGGCGAACTGGAGCAGAAACTCCCAAGCTTCGAGGACGATGCATTTGGGAATTGGTCTTCAGCTTTGGAGTGAACAGAGCGAACGTGGGGGGTGAGCCCATCCTTTTCCGGTCTTTGGCTAGTTGAGGATTGCAAGTGTCTCCTATGTCTGCTGTTGAAAAGCACCCAAAACAAATTGATTCAGCAGAGAAATTTGGATTGTTCGAAAGTTCTTTCCTTGTGCGCTCTTCCTTGCCCCCGCTTCTCCCCCATTTTTGCGTCTGTGATCTCCTTATGGCGACTGTCATGGGGGGCAATCAAAACGTCCAAGCAAGAGAGAATGAAACAAGCTTCCCATGTTCTGGATAGTCAGTAGTAACCAAAGACATACAACCCCGTCACGTGGCCCCAATGCAGCCCCGACACCGATATATCCTAAAATGGCAACGATGGAAACACTTTCCTCAAAGCTTCGTCCCCATCTCCCACCTCTCCTCATCACCTGCCAGGTCCTGCTGCCGCCGGCGTCGCTCTTCCTCCTCCTGAGCCAGAGGAGAAGCTGCACCACTCCACGCACAAGCCGGTGCGAAGAACGGACGGTCTTTCGACGGATGGATGGCCCATCCGTCTAAGCTCTCCCGGCGGCACGGACCGGTGCCACGGAATGACGCGTCCGCGACGGTCTTGTTGACCTTCCCCCAAATTGGCACAGGTGACGAGGAAGGAACGTGGGAGATGGGTTGGAGCTTAAGAGGATGTCAAGAGGAATGCTATGGAATTGTACTCAGTGAACCTTGGGTGATCTGTGCTGAAGAATGTGCGACCAGGACCTCACGCGAAGTAGCCGTCCTCAGCCCATCATAGTCTTTCATTCAATGAATGGGTTTATGGACAAATCTACAGGAAACCATGGTGTTCAACCCCCCAAACCTGTGGGTGTCCTGCAGACTTGTCCCTTGTAAACGAATTCATGGATTCATCGAACCGCACATCGAACAATAATACTTATAACAGGGCACCCATGTGAGATGAACAACGTGACCCAACTTGGTGCGCTTTAAATCGTTCCCTTGTCCATCCGCATACGACCACCAGAAGCCGATGCTGTGTCGGGCGGTGTGGGCCGGACCAGCGAAACGGCACCGCCACGGCGCGGTCAGCGTCCGGTTGTGGGCTGGTCTAGGCGAAGCGCCTGGTCTGCGAGCCTTTTCAGAACACAACGGATCCACCAAAAGGACCCAACTAGATCGGCAGAAAAAAAAAGGTATTAAGCTTTAAAAAGGCCTTAATACAGATCCTGACAGCTATATTTATATATATATATATATAACTATACTGTGCTGAGAGTTGAAGGAGGGCACATCTGACTCCTTAGGTGCCTGGTTGCTTGGTTGCTTGGTTGCCTCTCCGCCTCGAAGTCGTGCCTGCCCTCTCTGGCAACCACTCTGGTACCGATCGCCGGGGCGCGTTCCGAACCACACGGCCTACCCCTACCCGGACCGACGCGTATCCCGTCTACTCCAACCTGGCACCTCATGGACCCCAGATCTTCGTGGTCGAAATGGGTCGAAGTACGCTCTGCACTGGTCGCACGCCACAAAAAAAAAAGAAAAAATGACCAGAAATCCACCCAAACTCTCGAGTCAAGTGACTCTTTCGCATCTGTTTCGCAGCTCAAAGTGACTCACCCACGTCCCCACGTCTCCCACTCCTCGGGTCGGCCAGGGGGATAAGCGAAGCTCGACCTCAAGAGGTCGGTGGACCGGAGCCGAGAGAGACGCGACCCGTCTGGCACGGCCGTGGGGTGGTGGTGGGGGGGCGTCTGCGGCGGCAGATTGGAACCAGTCCCATGGAGTGCTTCAGGTCCGGACCCCTGCTATGGGCGGATTCTTAGGGAAAACCAAAAGAAATCATACCTGGACCGTCCAGTCTGGGTTGTCCTGGACTACCCAGCCCACCACTTAGAGGTGTCCTGTCCTGGACACCCAGGTCTGGAATGCTCCAGAGATGTGTCTTCATGTGTCTTGGACGGATCGATCCGTCAAACGGGCGCCGTCATGGGAGGTCCAAACGTGCCAGCTACGGAAAACGCGATCCACCTCGCCTTGACCGTAAGGGCAAGTCCAACCCTAGAGCTCAGAGTGAGCCGGGATGGGTTGGACGGTTCCACGTGGTGCACCACCAGGCTTGAGATCCTTGCCGCCCGACCAACCGATGCCGTGCCACGGCTCAAAGGACACATGTGACGCCCCGGTCACGAGTCCGAGGCGCTCGTCTCCCGGTCGCACGAACGGGAATTGACCGTGAATCTGGTACTCGCTGGAAGTCGAAGGAGGAGATTGGGGGGCCCCAGTGAAGTCACAGGAAGTTCCCGAAAACAGGTACTCTGAAAGACATCTTCTTTTAAGTACCTGGACCATCCTGGACATGGGTGTCCTGGCTGGAGATCCCGGATAGCAGTGCAAGTACTCGTCCAGCCAGGACACCCATGTCCAGGATGGTCCTGGTAGTCTTTGCCTCTCAGGGAAGCTTCAGGTGTCCATCACCCAAATCCCATCACTGGAGCTTCCCCGGCGCTGCACTTGGCGGAGGCGCACGCCTTAGCACCCGAAGAGATCGGGGGCGTCGAGCTTCTCGATGGGGTCAGGGTCGTGGCCACTGGAGACGACTCCAAGCGGAGTCTTCGAATGGACCACCCTAGGAATCCAGCCTCGAAGCAACACATAGGGTTTGGTTCGGGTCCGGACCCCTGCCTTTCGGTGTCGGGTCCGACTGCCATGGAGGGCCCATTCGGATTCTTAGGGTACAAAGACAAAAGAGTCCTAATACCGAACAGTGTCAGCAAGATGTTCTTGCGTCAATGAATGGAATTCCAATGTTGGTGGAAGCTCAACAGTAAACTGTTTGTTCCTCTTGCAGCCCAACAATAGGCCTGGCTTGGTGCCTAACCACAGTGTTTGGGGCAATAGCTGGGAACCAAGTCCCAACCAGAAACAGTTCTGGTTGTTTCAAGTTCTGGCACCAGCGCCATAGATCCTGTACATAGCAAGTGCTTGGGACATGTTGGGAACATCGTGAAACATCCACTTCCTTCCTGGTTGGGACGGGGTTTTCCAGGGTCACCCCACCATCTTTGCTATGAACTTCAGACTCCTTCGGCCTCCTTCGGCCCCTTCTTCGCCTCTTGATGTCCCTCACCGGCTTTGTACTAAGACCTCTCTCGCACAAGATACATGTTCATCACCGGGTCTAGGACCAAGGCTGACATGGTGTTTTTGTCGAAACAATTCTAAATATTGCAAGAACTATAGGATGATCTGTGGATCTATATAGACCCTCCCGAAAAATGTCATGGATCCATGGCCACATAGATCCACATACTGAACCTGAGGTACGGTGATTGGAGAGTGGAAACCGTGACTGTGCCACTACGCATCTATTTGGGGATCACTTAAAACACATCAACTCCCGAGTCTCAACCGAGCACGACGCCCCGAGATCCGCGGAACCGAGAGGCTCAAAAGTCTCGAGCGGCACGGCCTCCGACCTTGGATATGAGAGGACCCTTAAAAAAAAAAAAAACGGATTCCAGGATCATCATGGACCATTGATCATCCAGAATCCAGGATTGTCTCTTTTGGAGGGTTTCATATGGTTTCATGACATCATGTTGAAAGAACCTCATCGATTGAGTAACGGGTCTCACATGGTCTCCCCACATGAAATGCCATGATTTCATGCCGAGATTTGAGGATCCAGTCGAAACTCCTGGAAGAAAAACGCCGGTATTGTGTGGGGGGAAGCCGACTCGTGGTGTCGAGCACCCATCGTGGGTTCAGAGTCGACAAGGGGTTCTTTTACTTTGGACTCTTTGGTTTCAGACAAGCCGTGTCACCTCTTTGGAGAAGGAGATGGGTGGATTCTGGGTGGATACTGTTATTTGATGTTATTTGTGGATGTTGCAGACATTGCAGAAGTTGAAGATAACTCTGGTTACTATTCTCTTGCAACCCACAGATGTTGCATCTACCTGCAACATCCTTGTGTCACGAAGCCTTCGTTGTTGGCATAGGCGGTTTACGTCCTTATTCAAGACATTCCGAGACAGACCGGAAGTCCTGCAGCTGTCAGTTCCACGCGGGTACCAGGGGTACCGTTTCCTGGCCGCCTCCTCCGCATCCGTCGAGGGTGTCAAGGGTGTCTCATGTGGTGCCCCCCAGGTGTGAAGTCACTCGATGAGCGGAGCCACGTGGCTTCCCGGAGCAATCGTTGAACATGCAGGTCACGGGGAAGGTCCCCGGTCCATGACTAACCCTCAAATCATGGAAAATGGATGGCAACACCCTATAATTCATATGGGGAAACTCATGATCATTCGGACAAAAGGGAGCCATGTGATCCACTTCCATCATGATGATCGCAGGGAGTGGAGGCGTGTGATGAATCTTCAGAACCAGCCAGGAGCAAATATATGACCTTCGGAGGACTTTGCATGTTCGAGTTCGCATGTGTGCGTTGGTCGAATGAACCCAACCTGTCGCCCTGGTTTTTCTTTGGTTGCGACAAGAGAGCCCACTGATGAAGCAAGATGATCCGATATTTTTGCACCAGGAGGAGACCATCCAAAAGACAAAAGAACTCCGGATGCACCCTGACAATGACAAGAGCACGGCACGTCTAACCGGAAATCTTCTCGGAGCTTTATTGGGCCGACGGGAGACCCTGTGAAAAGGGCGAAGGCACCTTGTATCGTTTTTCCTGGAAATCCAGTCCCAACTCCCAACCAGAAATTCATGGATGTTCCCGCAGTCCCAACCACTAGCTATGTAAAGCATCTATGGCGCTGGCGCCAGAACTTGGAACGTCCAGAACTGTTTCTGGTTGGGACTGGAGTTCCAGGTTAGAATGAATCCTTGGAACCCGACCTCTTGGCCAACGTCGAACACCTCCACCGACTTCCGCAGGGGAATCTGTGACCCGAACCCCAAAGCCTTTCAGAAGGGCGGGTGGGAAGCCACAGGAAGAATCGATCCAGGCGCCTCCCGCCCCTATTTCCACACCCCAGGTCTCTTGGTCCAACGATTTTCGCTCCCTGACCTTAGAAACCATTCCAAGATACCAGGACCATCCAAGGGGTGTCCTGGCTGGACTACCCCATACTACTTATAGGCTTCCAGACAGGGCACCCCGTGCAACACCTTTAGCTTAAACATCACCAAGCTCAGCTCTCTTTCCGGCCCTCTGGGGGCCCACGCATCACTTCCGGCCACCGGTCGAGTCTGCGGACAACGGCGGGCGGGCCGTTTTGTGCTCCCACCGCGGCTGGGGCGGCCGGAAGTCACCTGGACAGGTGATTTGTTCGGCTCAACCCATGACTGGTAGCTTCTTGTTCCTAGTAGCTTCTTGTTAATACTAGTAAGGCACTTGTTACTACTAGCGTGGCACTTGTTCCTAGTAGCTTCTTGTTCCTAGTAGTAAGGCCAGGAGCTACGTTCGTAGCGTCCCTTGCTCCGTGCGTAGCGATGCCCCGTAGCTTACCAGTAGCTTCTTGTCGTATCTTCTTCGGTCTCACAACTGAGATGTGGGCGTTGATTTTAACATCCAAAACAAGTAGGAAGGACGCTACTAGGTGGAGGCCATCGCTATTAATTAGGTTGGAGGCCATCGCTACGAACGGAACAAGGACGCTACGAACGTAGCCATGAGGGGTCGCAACGATTCTGAAGACTAGTGATGACTTGTTCCGTTCTACGCGAACTGTGGCTCCCAAGCCACCCCTGGTGGTCATCGCGGAACGAAGCGCGGGTTCAAGACCCTGGGTGCCCCAAGCACTCTGGCATGCCGCTGCATGCCTTCGTGGTCTCACTCATCTGTTCTTTTGTATGTGTTTTGCAAATTAATGTTAACTTCATGTTACCCCTATCCCCCCAGATTGAAGTTCAAGTCCCATTGATAGGCTGGCTTACGAACAGATTAACCACCTAACGACCGGTCAGCATGTCCCGGGCCCAGGGGGGTGGATCAACTGACTGATCGCTCGGGCGGGGCGTCCCCTCCTGCGAGGAACCACACTCAACTCCGCTCGTGCCATGGTGGTGCACCATGTCGTGGCACTCATGTGGTACTCGTGAGTGGGAGAACCCCCCAGGATTTGCACTCTGTCTGGGTGTTCCAACCCCCATCACTGAGTGGTGTTAGGAAGCATCGTGGACACCACGAAGCGCCGTCGCTGGATGGTCCAGGTCGGGAACCGAACGTCGGAGCGGAGCGCGTGGGCTGGGAGCGATCGGTCTTGAGAAAAACGCATGACCGAGCTGGTTGCGGTTGCTGCTTTCTTCTCAGCTTCGCCTTGGTTCGCCCGGCGCCAAGTCACACGGACGAGTTGAACCGATCCATCGGTGTGTTTCGTGGGCGGACGAAAAGCTCCGATCCACCGCTGTTGCTGCGATTGAAGAGATCCCACACTTGAGATCCGAATGGAGGGACTTTCCCTAAATGCAGACAGTTGATCAATCAAACCCCCATTTATGAAGAGCTATTGCAATCCATGTCTCTTCATGGCTTTGATGCATCAAGATTAAGATTCTACATGAAGCCACTCACTTTCTCATCACCTCATTCTCTCCCACCAAAACTCCTCCCCAAAACCACCTCCGCCAGCACCAACACCCGCTCGCCTCGATCGCCCCACCACCCCGCCGGAACCCGGCGGAACCCGGCGGCTACGCCCCTTCCAGCTCTGGGGCCAAAGATGCAGGGCGACCAGATCCACTAGCGCCAGCGTTTGGGCCGTTTTTCTCAGCTCCCGGATGGGAGGCAGCAAGCCGTTGCACAAGGGGTAGACAGGAAGGTTAAGAGATCGGGTTGGAGCCAGAGTCTGGAATTTAGTCCATAGGTTTTTTATCATTTGTTTATAGTTTATTTATCATTTCCATATATCATATGTTTATCGTTTTTTTATCAAACCATATCTTGGGCATTTACTTAGTTTATCATTTATGTTTCACTTAGTTTATCAGTCTTGATATAAACAAAAGTGTGGTTTGTGCATCAAGGTTGAGCGGGAAACACGTGCTATGTCCATGTCCTGCGTCCTGCGTCTAGGTTGTTAAAGTTCTTGACATGAACTTGAATGAACATGTGAGATCTATGATGTCCCAAAACTCTCGCCTGCAAAGCTGAATCCGGAGAAGTGTCTTTCTTTTTTCAGCAAGTAACGCACGGTCACTTGACAAGTTCAGCCCACTAAGACTAAGAAGTCTTTCAGTCTAAGTGGTGACTGTAGCTGCTGATCCACGTCCACATCCTTAAACAGGACATATCAGCTGGATTGTAGATGGAAGCACCCAATTAGAGGAATTTATCAGTCGAATAGCTGAAGTAAAAAACATGAAATCTAGATTACCCGCTTCAAGGAAATTCCAGCAACAAGCAAGCACAAACACACAGACAGGAACGGGATGCTTCCTTTTCAGACTGTCAGCAAAGCTTCCTGTGCCTTCCACAAACAGGGCGTCGAACACTTGAACACTAGCCACTACCACCTACCTCGCTGTGGTGAGAACATAAAACCAAAGACAGTGATAACAACCTACTTGAATATATTTATCAATAAAACCAACACTAACCTATAACAAACCTAACTGTTAACAGTTAACAGTTAGCAGCTAGTTGTTAGCAGCTCAGCAGCTGCTAGTGCCCCCCAGAAGCTGAAGTCTTCACTGACTGGTGACCAAAAGTCGAGTCTGATCCTATTTCCTGCCGCTCACTGCCACCAGTGGAGTTTCAGCTTCAGCCTCAACAGCAGCAGGAGGCGCCGAAGACTCCAGCAGTGAGGCTGAAATTGTCATCAGCACAGGATGAACCATGTCATCCTGAAGATTCCAGTGGGCAGCTTTTAGGTCAGCACGCTCCCTGCGAATGAGCCCCAATGCCGCCTGGCGACCCTTCGTGGCCTTCTCAATCTTTTGCTCATCCTGCTCATCACTGGCTGCGATGTTGTTGTTGTGGTTCCTGATGGCCTTCATCAAGAAGACTTCAATCAGAAGAACCTTGGCAGCTTGCATGGCGTGCAAAGACGATCGCATGGCTTCCTGAAGTTTGCTCATACCATCCGCAGCAGTGTCCGTTGACACCTGCGCTGAAAAAGTAGCCACAAAGTCTTCTGCAGCCTTCACCACCTGCAAGTGTGAGAGTCAAAGGGCTTTGATTAAGAACTCGACTCTAAAGTCTCACAAACAACACACAACATATTTACAATCCACATCTATATAGATGGTTGTGTCATGTTTGATTGATAGGAGAGATTGGCATCCACAGTGGGAACAGGTGTGTGGAAACTATAGTAAGAAATAAAGTCGAGTCAGTCCAATCTAGAGAATCTAGAGTCTAGATTCTAGATTCTAAAGTTACTGAAAAGTCTAAAGGTTTTCGAACTAAAAGGCAACAGTGGAGGGCAAGTCCCCTTTCCTCACTCCTCTCTTTTCCTCTCATACCCTGTCTGGTCCCCCTTCCACCTTCCCCCTTTCCTGTTCCCCATTTCCTTACCCTTCCCCCTTCCCTTCCCTTACATTACATTACTCTTACTTTCCCGTCCCTTCCCTTCCCTTCCCTTCTTTTTTCACTCTTCCTTCTTCCCTTCCCTGCCCTTGTCCCTCCCCTCTTCCCTCCTCATTCCACTCCCTTTTCGCAGGTAAGGGGAAGGGCAAAAAGAAATAGGGCTTGTATGAAAATGAAAAAAGACTATAGTAATAGACCGCGGACGGTCCTAGCCCTACCTGGTTACCACCAACGCCCTGCCTCGGCATAGTTGGTTGTGTTCTCCTTGATGCTTTTTCCCTGAAGAGGCATCACGGTCTTCTCTCCCAATTTGTAGAGGTCATCAAAGGCAACGTCACTACCAGAAAGACTATCCTTCCAGCAGTTGGGGCCAGCATTCGAGTAGCCCTTGCATAGCTCCAAGGTGTTCTTGGCCAGCTCTTCCATCTTGATCTTGTATTTGCTGCATTGGTTGTCGATGACTTCATCAAAGTGTTCGCTTGAAAGCTCTCGAATCAGGGATTCTGGCAACTCCATATGCACAAGTATCTGCACCGGGTGGTCATTTGCAAGATCTTTCACATCTTTGTGATTTGCCAAGGATTCCATGCAAGTAATTTCTTCCATCATCTTGCTACGACTCAATTTAATGGCACGAAGCAAAGCAAGTGAAGGATCAGTGTCAAGCAGGGTTTCTTTCTCATCGCGAACCTTGATGTTGCCCTGAATGATCTTCATTGCCAGAGGAGCACACTTCATCCAGGATGCAACAAACTGTGTGACCACACTGCTCACGTCATCCACACACAGCTTCGATGAAAGGTTTTCAATGAGAGATGAGATCCTTTTGACACTGCTGGGATCTGGAGTCATTTGCACCGCCTGAGCTTCTGTTTGGGTATCAAAGTTGGAAACGACATGACAATTTTGAACTTTTGAGGGTCAAGGTTTCTTTGAATTTAAATGAAGGCTAGAGTCTACAGTCTACATTCCACAGTCTGAACTAGATTCCTTAGATTCCTATATATATATATATATATATAGATCCTTTTGCAAACAATGCCTTGCTCTTTTATATATATATATATATATTTTTGCCCTTGATGGTGCCTTCACAAACTGATATGACGGTTGATAATCTACTGAATCTACTGTAATCATCTAATCAAAATCATCATCTATAATCTATATAATTAGGCCTTGTATTGTACGGTATGGCCACACAGGCACAGGCATTTATGTTTGGGTGTATGTATATATTATATAATATATATGTTTGTCTTGCCGTCTAGCCACCGTCATGAGTCTATTGAATTCGACCGTTGCTTCAGAAAAACAAATAGGCAAATCAACGACACAATCATCACTAACACCATGAGATGACAAGGTACCAGTTCCATCAGCTTCCTCAGAGCCTGCGGCATGAATTTCCACACATGCTCAGTCAACTCATTGTCGAAATGGTCGCCCTTGCCTGGGAAGCAGTGGCCAAGGCAAGTGTTGAGCAATTGGAAGTCGACACGGTCCTTCTCTTGGATCTGCAGAACATGGACCAAGTCGTTTTTCGCAATGTCTTTCACCTGGTTTGTCCTCCATGACTGCAGCTGCTTCCGCTCATTTGTGGCACCAGGCATGTCATGAACAAGAGCCAATCCATCCAAGAGTGCATCAATGGCAAGAGAATTCAGCCAAGTTGGAGCTCTTCCATTCCGGGCCTGGGTTGAGAAACTCTTGAACCGGGCCAGAAAGGTTTCCTTCACTTTCTTGAGCTTCATAGTGCGGATGGCAGTCTGGACATCTTGCAACTTGGTGACCATTTCTCTCAAGGCAGACGGCGTTGGGTTATCTTGCTGCAGTAGGCTCTCGAGGCTGGAAATCTTCATGCCTGCAAGTGCGCCTGACCCGCCTTTGCTGACCAAGTCATTGACTTCAGAGCTCCATCGACTAGTGCTATCCGTGAGGATGCGCCTGATTGCACCTTCGAAGACATTCTGACCCTTGAAGTTCACAAAGTGGAAGACATCATCATCTGTTGTCGAATCCACTCCTTCTGGCAAATCATTCAGGCAAAGCAAATGAGCGAAGCACCTGCACACTTGGTTGATGCGGCCAAGTGCATCATGGAGCGGCCCACACACATCTTTCCGTGATTCAAACTTCTCCAAGCCACTGCTGCTAGAGAAGAGCTTGGTCAACCCTTCCATCCATGCCAAAATGAAGCTCTCAATGGGTTCTGGCGAGACAATGCTTTGCTGTAATTCTCGAAAGAAGGGATCGTCGCTGATCGCATCAATCAAGTAGGTGCCAAAAGCCTGAGGGGCAAGGAAAGTTTGATTGACTTGCCATAGCTGCACAGGGCATATGAGTACAACGCATGAGCTGTGACCTGTATGTAAGTGTGAGTTTAGCGGTTAAAGATCAACATGTTTAAATCAGATTTGATTCCAGATTCTAAATTTTGCCATGTCTAAAGAAACTGCTTGTGACATCACTGTCTTAGTCAGACATGGTCTTAATCATAGTGTTTTTTCAGCTTTATGTGTTACTTAAGTTATGTCAAGTCTTTTGTTCTGCATGTACTTGCAGTAGACTTACTTACTGTTACTATTCTGTAAGTTTCTCGATGCTTGTCTATTGTATATATATATATATTGTATATATACTATATTAATATGGAATCTAGAATATCCAAAAACTATCATAGTATTAGTTATTAACTAAAAAGCAAATAGATACTATTAAGAGTTCATTGTTACCTGTTACATTATATATATATGTTTGTTTCAATCATATGTCATATATGTCGTATGATGCACCTTCTTGTTTTCCGTTCCACAACAAGGCCACGCCTCTGCCCGTGCACGCAATTGCGCCAAAGCAGGAGTCAAAACCGTAGTGTCACCATCAGAAGCCTTTGCCATCTTCACCGTTGCTTCGATGGAGCCAAAACCATCAATGTCTCCATCTGTCAGTGATCCTTGCTTCTCCTGAGCAGTGACAGCTTCGTCGAAATCCATCAAGAAGAAATGAAAGAGTTGCGCAAAGGATGGCTTCCCAGCATGGAAGGTGGGATTGTCGGCAAAGTTGTCCACAGTCAGAATGATATGCTTTGCCAGGCCTCACCAAATCTAACTCTAACTAACATACATTTGAAATTACAATAATTACAATTAATACAAATTACAATGTACGAATCTACATGTTGTCATGCTCTATGCACCCCCGTGTCCACACCACAAGGGCAAGGCAAGATTTACTCACTCTTTTTGTAAACATTGTACATCTCGGTCACATTGTCTGAATGTATATAAGTGCAGCTTATCAAATTCTAGGACCCAAGACCTGACCAAAAAAAGACCTAAGACCAAAGAGGGCAAGGAGAGGAAAAGAAGGTTCTAGTCAAGTCAGTACACAGTACTCAGTACTTCTTCATAGTTTTGACTTGACACATTGTGAAAAGAATGAACCAGTGACCAGTGACCAGAAAGATGTAAAAACACGAAGACTCAGCGGCCTTGCATGATCTGCTTGCGCTGCGGCATACCCTCAGAGATAGCTTTGTCAGTCTTATCAAACTTCTCAGCGAGGTTCTCACCGGCGTCAATGAAGCACTCCGCCAACTCTCTCTGAATGACATCGCTCTTTGCATCACAGATCTTGGCTTTGATTTCAAACGAGAAGTCGTTCCAGTGATCCTTCAAAGAGACGATCAGCGTAGACAGGTAGTCAGAAGTAAAACTTCGCAGCTGCTTTGTCCGTAAGGCCAACCCTGCTTCACAGCTAGCAATTCGCTCTTGCAATGTGAGAGCGGCTTGATTCTGGTTGCTCTTGCCCAAACTCTGCTGAATGATCTTTGTCTAAACAGAATGTCGAGATTGAAATTTAAACCAAGCACAAATATGTGTATTCCTCTTGATGCAATTTTGCATTATGCCATATGCGTCATATATGCGTTCTAACTACGCTGAGCTGGTGACGGGAATTCTGATGTTTCTAGCAGATTCTAGCAACTAGCTAGTAGTAACTAGTAACTAGTAAGTAGTATTATGTCTTGGATACATGAACCCTCGGACCAGCAGCAGCTAGCATTATTGATTATCCCACAAACCCTTGCCTCTGTCTGAACCCGTTACAGGTTAGCTTTTGTTTTCAGCTGCTTTATTTGGAGCAAACATGTTTTCTATTAAAGTTAACTCTTTCAATTTGCGCTTGCAATCCATGTATATATATGTACTATATGTGTGACTGTATGATGTGCTATCAGGCTATCAGGTGTTATGTATATTTTCCTTGAATATCAGCTCAGCGTCTCAGCGAACTGAACATCGCAATTGTTTGTATTGAGATCTTGTGCCTATGTTGCAGAAGATAAGAGTGACTGCAGTGACTGTTTTGAGTCCGTTGATACGGAAACATTGCTTCTATTCAGCGCAGTATAACAATACTGCAGTATAGTTGTAGTTACATTGTAGTTTTTGAGTATGAGTATAGTGCTTAGACGGCTTAGGCTTAGACTTAGAATATATTACAGTACTGTAATATATGATTTATAATAGGGTTTGTTTGTCAGACGTTCAACACACTCCATGTCCTGCTGTCTTGCCATATAGTCTTAGTCAATGTCACTCATACCACACAGTTCTACTGTGAATCCCAGTCAGCAAACCTCTCAGAATTAAGTGCAAACCTCTCAGCAAACCGCATAAATTCAATCCATACAATACAATCATGAACTTGAATCTTTTTTAGACTTCAACGGTCAACAGCTGTGGAGATTCTAAGATTTTAAGGCTTGCACGCCACGAATCTGCGATGCAAGAGCCCTCTCGCCCGATCCATCAGATGTTCCAGCAAGAAAAAGCTCAATCTTGAGGCCAGCCAAACTCTTCACACTGGACGCGCTGCCAGTAGCCAAGTGCTTTTCAGCCACAAACTTCATCTCAGCATCCAATGAATCTATGGCCTTGGTTTTGGAACCAGCATTGCTGCGTTCATCCGCCTTGTCTGGGGCAGATGCGGCAGCCGCAGCAGAAGAACTCTTGTAGGTAGCCTTCTGATTCTCTGAGGCCTTGCCTCCCTTGGCAGCCTTCTTCTTTGGCCTTGCCTTGATTTCATCGTCTAGCTCTCCCAGAGCGATTCCCGACTGACGAGTTGGGGCAGCAGGAAGCTCTTCCTCGTCCGACAACATGTCGTCAAAGTCATCCCCAACATCAGCATCAGAATCTTCAAGCTGAGTCCGGGCATCTGCTCCTTCTTCTCTCTGGTTGTTGTAGGCCACTCGACACTTCTCCTTCAAAGTCTTGACGCTCTCAGGACATGAGGAAAACCGCCAAGACGCTGGCCTTTTTTCAAGCTGATGGTCAGCCACATGCTTGAATACTCGCTTGCCTTGCCCTTGGATCACATTGTCTTGTGCCTGCAGCAAGTTTGTTTGCATGATGGTCCCATCCGTGTATGAGATTCTCACCTTGCGAATGGCGGCTAACTGGTCTTCTGTTAGCCCCTCAAGGCCCAACGTGTACAGCGTAGTGTTGTCTGAAGGGTTCTTCACAGGTAGCTGAGTGAGATTCTTTTTGTCAGGCTTCAAGCCGGTGTAGTGTTTGTACTCAGCTTCAGTCACTGCGCCAAAGTCCTGAAAGATCTCAAACTTGTAACCTTTCTCCTGAAACACTGAACTGGTGGGGTTCACGGATGGCTCCTCAACACCGTCCATCACCTTGACTGCGGTCGCAACGTCAGTCAAAAATGTAGGATCCTCTTCCTTGCGCTTGGCGGCATCATTCTTGAGAGACATGGCTTGCTCAGTTGTCATTCCTGGGCGAACCCTTCCAACTCCATCTCCACATCTGTAGCAAAGCGGACCAACTGGAAGCTGATGAGCGTTGTACTCATGCCATTTGGCATCCTGCGATTGTTTTACAAGACAAGCGACATGCGACATCGGAATGGGCCTGAACCCATGCCCCCACTCACTGACTGAAATTGACTGACGTCTTGAGATGCTAGCCGCCAGTAACCGCTAGCCGCTAGCCACAAGATAAACACCAAAAAACATACCGAAGACACGAGAACAGTCCTTGCTAGATTGTTTGCAAAAACCACATTCGCAATGGTCAGCTTTCTTTTGCCTCTTGGCCACCACCATAGTTGCAGCAGAAGATCGTGCAGCCGATGCGGCGGGGACAATTTGCCCATCCTCTGACAAACAAAAGGCGGACCGCGACCATGACTCCTGACTCTGACTATAATTAACAACAATAATCTTATTTGTCATTGACCCAAACCCCAATCCGAACCTGACTCCTACAAACATTTGCTACAATGCTTTCACTAGCAGCTAGCAGTGCTTGACTGCCTCGAGATGAGAACCTGTACTACAGTATCTACTGTAAATATAAATATTAATATTGTAGATAGTAGGTTTGAATACTTTTCCATCTCTGCTCTACTCTACTCCCGTGCTTTTGTCTACATCTGTTCGGACATTACTTTACATGACTGTCAAATGAATGTTGGTTAAGCTCAGCAAGGCATGTCAATGTCTCTTCCTGAGCGTCGGTCAGTCTATGTGTATATATATATGATACTATGGGTATTAGTATAGTTGGTTGTCGTGTATACTACAAATCTAGAACTAGGTCAGGTTCGATCTCAGATCTATACCAACCCTTCCAGCAGTTGCATCATCGTAACATTACCAGGCCCATATGCCATAGTGCCATAGTGCAAACAATATCGCGTATGTTTGCCTTTTTGTCTGTCCATCCGTCTCTATCTCAGAGTAGTTGACTGACTCAGTCTCTTCCATACACTTAGTCAGCTAGTCCTACTCAAAGTCACTATCACTAGCTTCACTAGCTGCGGCTAGTCAGTCTGAAATAAAGATGAAAAGACAAATGCGCAAACAATACGAAACAAATCCAAACGGTCCAGTCCTGCTCCCTCTTCTTCAGTGACTTGGGAGGCATGGTACGTGCGAATTGCGAAGGGATACAACGCTGGCAAGCTAGGCAGAAGCAAACAGCGAAGCGAACAAACACTGAGGTTCACTGAATGACAGTTGACATCTGCAAAGACCTGCATCCACTAGCTAGTGGCTCTGCCACTGACCTAGAAACAAACAACATAATAACAGGGAACTGTTGTCAACATGCAGAGAGCCTTCGCTGCCATTACAAGTTAGACAAGACCATCAGGGCGCCACTAAGCAGCTGTTTTTTTCATCACTGATCCAAATGCAGTTATTCGAGCGACGTCCTTTGCATAGGGTGAACAAACAAATTTAATGCAATGTAAAGCACAAACTCAACTAACTATGGCCACACAGACTGTCGGTGTGGGCACCTTTATGGTGACCTGCCAAAAGGAAGCGTGCATACTTTAATGTTTATGGCCATCATTATAATGATAATGCATCACATCGTACAAAACATATATATATATATAGTTATATACGGTTTCACACAAGTCAACTGATCTACTCAATGATATACTTCCTTTGGCCAGAATCCAGAAGCTCGTTTGTTGCAAACGAGCGTGCATGCTCAAAAGGCTTGACTACAAAGACTAGGACTAGCCAGTCTTCTGAAACCAACTAGTCTAGTCTAGTCTAGTCGTTGATCTAGATCTAGAATCTAGATATGATCAAAACGCCCTCTGCAAACACAGTGCAAGAAGCAGGGCTGCCAAGTTTGGCAACGTTATACCCATCGTCGCGAGCTCCAGCATCTCATCAGGCATCATGCTTGGCGGAATTCGGATGGTTGGCGAATGCCCCTGGATGAGTAGCATCTCCAGAGGCAAAATCACTCCATCACGCTGGTATGAATACAAGATAGAGCTAGTAAGCATACACTTGGCAATCCCTGAAGCATTGGTAAAGGCCTTTCTGCAAGGGTTCTGCGATAAGTCAACGATGACTCCAGCCAGTTTCTCTCTGACGATGGAGTGAAATGCTGGCCCTGCAGACCCCATCAAAGCTGCGGTTTCTGTTGCTCCACCTAAAACATCCAAAGCCACACAGTCCAGGATTGCTTTCACTCGGGTGGTAGCTGATATGCCTGTCAGCCTCAGTCCTGGCTGAGATGTTCAGGGTTTCAGCGAAGCAAAAGCCCCAGTTGCACCAAGCTGTTGCTTCCAGTTGAGGATTTGCCCCGACCACTTGCCAGCAGCACTCGGCTTGAATGTCACTGCCTCCTGGAAACGTACAACATTATATCCACACCATTGAATCAAGAGGTTTGCTCTAATTACAATTAACATATTACTAAAAGAATCTAAACCTTTTTTTTGTAGATTGTGATTGGGACTTGTCAGCTAGTCACTAGTCAGCTAATCACAGCTAGTCAGCTGGTTGCAAGACCAGCCCCCTACGAAAATGCTGGTTGGCCGTGCCCCCTATAGCCGCTAGGCTGGGTGACAAAGAAATGATACTTTGTAAGAGCACCTGAGACACACTGATAAAAAAAATGATTAAAAAAATGATAAAAAATGATATTTTATTGTGGTTTTATCATTTTTTATCATTTTTTATCATTTTTTTATCATTTGCCTTTATCATTTTTTATCATTTTTTAATCAGTATGTCTCAGGTGCTCTTACAAAGTATCATTTTTTTATCGGTGTGTCTCAGGTGCTCTTACAAAGTATCAAGCAAATCGCTTTGTTAACCACTGGTGCCCCACTGTCCTTACCACGGCATACTGATTTCTTGGCGTTCAAGAAAAGCGCTAGATGCTGCCTGTGCAGTGCGCCGCCTTCTGGAAGTAAGAGGCTGTGCAACTCCTTCGCTGGCACATTGTTGATGATGTAGTTATCCAGGTCCTGTTTCAGGTTCAGACCAAGTGAACCAGTTGATTTAAAACTGTGGAACATATGAACATCAATATATATATATATATAAAATACTATAGCAACCGCAGGCCACAAATTGATTGGCTTGGTCATCAGTCTTCGTCCTTCGCTCACTTCTTGACCTTGTATATGGCATATGGCATATGGTCTTAGTGACTAAATTGTTTCACACAGTTCTGCTTCTGGCCTCAATCTGGTCTTTGCAGCTCCGCACAAAGTCAATTGAATAGATATCCTTCCGCATAAAGATCAGGTAGCACCTGCAAGCATCGTTTCTGAAGCTGGCGTTCGCTTGCACCGAACAAAAATATGTGCTATATTATGGTTCTCATAGAGTTAAGCCTAAGTCCAAAAAGGAGTCTGATTGTAGAGCACCCTGCTCTCTTTTTCTCAGTGGTCGGCATGTGCTGCTTGCACCTGTCACACTCTGTTGGGTTCTTCTGGATCACCAGGCCTCGCTGGCCTTTCATATTGGGAAAACTCCTGAGCACCTGGCAACGTGTTGAAGTATTCTCTGGCATTTCTTCTGTCCTGTAAGGTTGGTTTGCAACCGTGTTTGTGTCCAGTGGCATGGTCATAGCTGCCACATTGCTGGAGCCAGGCGACAAGGAGCCCAATAGGACGTCCAGACGCTCTATCACTCTTTGGTTGAACAGTTCTTTGGAGTCGACAGTCAGGAGCATGAAAGGAAGATCTCAAGTCGCAAAAAGCCGTGATGTGCCCATGCTGGGGGTAGTATCGCAGTTCTCCAAACCGACCGATAGATATGATTTCCTTGCTGTCCATGTCTCTTTCCCCCCCTGCTCTGGGTCCAGCAGGGTTGCGTCTTGGCGCTTCATCTGGCACTGGAGGTGGAGGTGGCTCAACGGCCTCTGCCTGCATGCCTGACACATGTGCTGGTTCAGGCGCATCTCCTCCTCCTTCAAGTGCATCTCGCTCTAGACCGTCTGAATGGGAGCTTGCTTCACTGGGTGCCTCATTGTCAGGCTCTGATGATGCTTCATCAACACCAGCTGCCGCAGATTCCAATGCCTCCACTGCCTCCACCTCCAAATCCAATGCCTCTTCTGCTGCTGAAAGTTGCTCAACAGCCTCAGCATTCGAGTCTTCATCTCCATCGTAAGCTGCAGCATCATACGCAACATCAACGGCGCTGAGGGCATTTGTATTGAAGTCCAAAACTTCAGCCTCATTGTCTGACTGATTCTTATCGTCTGCGGCTGCCTCAACGTCTTTGCTGTCAGCAACTGCAGGCTTTGCTTGTCCAGGTCGATCTTTGCGCCTGGGCCTAGTCATAGTACGAGGCTTCTTGTTCTTTTGTCCAGACTGTTTGGGAGTCAGTTTCCTTTTTCTTCTTGCTTGAGCAGCTTCAGCAGCAAGCTTTCGAGCCTTTGCTTCTTGACTGGAGCCATGCCAAAGAACAAACTCGGTCACCTCATCTCGTTTCCTCACTGGTATTGTGGGGTCTTGGATAATGAGAGGGAGAGGCCAGTCTGCTTCAACAAAGGAGATGGTCAAAACGCTCACGCACCAGGAAAAATTCAGATCCAAAAGCTCCTTGAAAGCCTCCATATCGCTATAAATGCCCAAACGAGGGTGAGCATCTCTGTTGGAATCCTCTGATGGTTGCGCAGGTGTCAGTGTCAGTGTAGGGGCCAGAAGCGAAGCATTGCTGCCAACGGATTGTTCAACCATGTCAAGCAGCATCACCGCAAAATGCCAAGTGCTGAAGTTTGTCTTGCCAACATGCAAGAACACAGGCTGCTGCAATACAGGCAAAGATTCTGCAGGAAGATCAATTGCTGGAAGATCGTCAGTTCCAACTGTGGTAGACTCGGTTGCCACTGGCACTGGCGAGAGCTGCAGAATGACAAGCCCTTCCTCGAGGAGCTTTCGCTCAAATGACTTCTCCTTGGTCTTTCTCTTCTTCCAGAAGACATG